GTAAACTGGCCTTGTGGCCCTTTGCTTGTGCTCGGACTGTGTGGTGACTTTGTGATCCACCCTGAGCTTGCTTTGCTTTTCTTGACTGGTCTTGTGACCACTTATTCTCCCCCACTTTGCCTATGGGGGTGTGTCAAAATGTTATAGTGCTTACATTTGTGTAGGCTATAGTGGGGTAGCCCATAAGGTGTACAACCCAATTAGGGTTAGTACTTGTACTCAACTCTTTCATTTTTGTTCGTTAGTTTGACATTTTTTCCTCACCGCATTCTCGGGTGCTTCTTATGCATCGGAACCAGAGGACATGACAAGTGTTGGAGGGTTCATTTGCTGTGTTGGTGGAGGCCCAACTGCTTGGGAGAGCAAGAAGCAGGTGGATCAAGCATTGAGCTCGGTGGAGTCCGAGTACATGGCACTCTTCCGTGCCGTACGGGAGATTGTGTGGCAGCGCCGTTTGTTGGCTGAATCGGGGGAGGAGCAGCAAGGACCTACCCTACTCTACTGTGACAGCCAAGGTGCCATTGCACTTGCTAAGAACCCTGTGTTGCACGGCCTCACCAAGCACATGAGGGTGAAGTGGCATTGGACGAGGAGCATGGTGGCCGCGGGTGAAGTTGAGTTGCGCTACGTGAAGACGACGGGGCAGCCAGCTGACATGATGACCAAGAGGCTGGTTGAGCAGCAGCATTGGAAGTGTTGCAAGCCGGCTGGGATGGCTATGAACTGAGAGAGCAATATCCTAAGGCCAACAATCCGAGGGGGAGTTTGTTGGTGCAACCCTACGGTTTGCATTCGGCTTGTTGTCCGTGTGCGTGCATGCGTGTGTGCATGGAATGGTATGAGGGCATGAGATAATATATATTTCTTGCTTTAAATAGTGTGTGAATGATGAGACATGCTTTTTAATGTGTGTGTCGAGTCAATAGCGAGTTATCCCTAGTCGCGTGTCACGTCGTCGTTTGTGTGTCGTGTGCGGTTTTCTATTTTGTCATGTGTGGAACGTTCGGCGTGTCGCAGGTGTGCGCAGCAGACTTCCAAGAACTCAAGGAAGAATTTATATTGAAGAACCAGAGCCATGGTTTCAAGATCCAAGTGATTTCGAAGCTCTCCAAAAGGGTAGACTTCAAGATAATGAGAATAGTTACATTACAATGTGTAGTGTAACATTTCTCTTGGTGTAGGTCCTTGTGGAGGGTAGTTTCGAGACCCTTCATGATTGGGGACAGTGTGGCACTTTTCCACATCACTGTAACTCGGCTCTTGGGGTTTGTAGGAGCTAGGAGTCATTCCCAACTCGTAACTCTTCCTAATTTGTGTTCTAAGACTATAGTGGCTGCCATAGTGCTGTTCGTTCAAACTGACGTTGCGTCATCATTACTTTAATGAAATCGTGCAATGTAAATTGCCTTTTGTCGACGACATCAAGAAGCTCCAGATCCAATTTATAGCAAGTCATTTGAAGCTGTGAACAGAACGCTATCAACGTTTGAAGCCGCTGTGCAGAATTCCGACTATGCACTCTATCTTTCGTTTTAGGCACATTCAAGCCTACTGTGACTTTAACAAGAACTATAGCCAAGAATGAAGGTGTAACCCTGTGACAAACGCTGAGTTGCCTGGTCGTTGGCCCAAGAAGCGTCGGCGTGTCCTGTGAGTACCACTGAACCCCGTCCTCCAAGCACGAGCCCCATGCCCGATGTGCTACACAAGTAACGCATTACCCTCTTCGCAGCATCCCAGTACGCAGAAAACCAAAGCCTCCACCACCTGGACGGGCTCGCTGAATAACCCAGTCGCGAAGCTGCTGCAGGGATAGCGTAACCGGGAGAGGCAGTGGCTGCTGCTGTCCACCCTTAGCCGCTGCGACTACCGTGATAGTGGCCATGACAGGAAGTGGCAGTCAGTAGCAGCGGCGAAAGGGCAGTAGTAGCGACTGTTGAAGTGACTGCGGAGGTCAGTAGAGTACGTGGGCAGTAGGGCACAGGCTAGTGCAGCAACAGCATTAGTGCCAGCAGTGGCAGCACGAGCAGCAGTAGGACAGTGCGGCTCAGTAGGGGCAGGGCAGTGCGGCTCGGGCATAGCGGCGCGGCTCGGGCTAGGCAGCGCTGCTCGGCAGGGCACAGCACAGCAGTAGCAGCGCGTTGGGCAGCAGGGCGCGCTGGCGCCTTTTTTTTTTTTTTTTTTTTTTTTTTTTTTTTTCTTAGGGTCGCGGGGCGCGCTGGCGTGCTTAGCAGCGGGGCGCGCTGGCGCGCTTAGCAGCGGGGCGTGCTGGCGTGCTTCGCAGTGGGGCGCGCTGGCGTGGTGGGCTGCGGGGCGCGCTGGCGCGCTTAGCAGCGGGGCGCTCTGGCGCGCTGGGCTGCGGGGCGTGCTAGCGCGCTTAGCTGCGGGGCACGCTGGCGCGCCGGGCTGCGTGGCGCACTGGCGCGCTGGGCTGCGGGGCGCAATGGCGCGCTAGGCTGCGGGGCGCGCTGGCGCGCTGGGCTGCGGGGCGCGCTGGTGCGTTTAGGGCTGCGGGGGGCGCTGGGCTGCGGGGCTGCTCGCGGGCAGAAGGGGCGCGCAGGGTAGGGGCTGCTCGCAGGCAGCAGGGGCGCTCGGGGCAGGGGCTGCTCACAGGCAGCTGGGGCGCTCGGGGCAGGGGCTGCTCGCAGGCAGCAGTGGCGCGCGGTTCAGGGGCTGCTCGTGGGCAGCAGGGGCGCTCGGGGCAGGGGCTGCTCGCGGGCAGCAGTGGCGCGCGGGGCAGGGGCTGCACGCGGGCAGCAGGGGCGCGTGGGGCAGGGGCTGCTCGTGGGCAGCAGGGGCGCGCGTGACAGCAGGGCAGTGCGCTAGGGCAAGCAGTGCGAGTAGCTGCAGGGCAGCGTGACACTGTGTGAGAGGGCGGGACAGCGCAAGGGCGCTTCGGGCAGGAACTAGCAGAACGATCGGTGGGCCCTAAAAACCTAACAGGTTTCCTGCTCTGAATACCATGTCAGAATCAACAGTGCAGGAAATGAATGAACTATTAATGAATTGGGTACAAGTACTATCCCTTGTAGGCTAGACCACTATAGCCTAGAGAGAACACAAACATACAGTTTGACAAGGCTCCAAGCCTAGAAGCTCCCCAACCATGGAAGCAATGATTGGGAAGAGCCCCAAGGGGTATTATAGAAGGGGTTGATGATTTGAAGCTCATTTCCTCACTTTCCAACTCCAACTTACCAATTTGGAAATGGGATTTCTCTAAGTCTGTTGGGTTCTCCTAACAAACTCTCCCACACAACTAGAATTGTGTTTACTTCAAGGACAAGCTCTACAAGAAGCTGCCTACCTACTTGCTAAAGCTTCATCAGCTTTCTTCAAGCTCTCTTTCTCATCTCAAGCTTCAAGGATATTATCAAGGCTAGGTTACCCCTTGGTGGGATTAGTTTAATCTTGGAAGCCTTGTATCTTGATTTGATATATATTGTCAAGGAGGATTTATATTTAACACACCGTTGCCCGTTGTTATAAGGGCCGTGGTTGTTACATTGGTATCTAGAGCTAGGGTTATCAAAAGCCTAGTGGGGATTTTGCCCCTAGAGATTTTTTTCTTATAGATCTTGGAGTTGTGGTTTCTCTTTAAGAGAGCACTCAAGATATGGAAGCTTGAAGAGTTCAAGGTCTACAAGATATACAACTACAACTTCAAGCTTAAGAAGAGAGATTTATCTCTCTTGCCCACCTTTTGGTGGAAGACTCTCTACTGTTGAGTAGTTGAGTATAAACTTGGATCTGGAGGATTTGTTGAGGGTTATTCAAGTTCTCTTTATTGAGATTTGGATAGACCCTGCCCTTTCACTTATTTGATTGGGACTCTTGGCAACAAATCAGTTACCAGTGGTAACCTTGAGTTATTCTGTAGAAGAAATTTCTTTTATAAGAATTTCTTGCTTTACCATTGAGGTGGTAAAAGTATTTTAACAGAATCAACCCAGATATATAAAGCTGTTATAGTCTAGAGTCCACTTAGGGGTCGCGGATGGCCATGAAACTGCCTAAGCAGAATCTGATAACTTCGAACCGCCTCTGTTCAAAACTCCGTCACGATCAGCTCCAAAAACATACGATGCTGAAACTTGGATAGACAATAGATTCTGGTGTCTGCTTTACAACTGTATATTTCTTGCTTTCATCAGAGGTGTATGCGTTACGCAGTGAACGAAAACGTAAGCTCAGCTGAAAACGTGTAGTTTCATTGATGCAAGGAAGAGGTGAGCACAACATTGCCTAGGGGACTCTTAAAGGGTTGGGACCATCCTGGGAACTCAGAGAAGGTTGAGTCCTAGGGAAGAAAGGCTAGATAAGGATGGGAAACGTCCTAGCTAGGTCAGCAAAGCCAACCACACTTGGATGTTCAGAGCTGTACTCAAGGCTACCAATAGTGAGTCAATCCAACCATGAGTCAGCTTGTCTTCCCACTTGCACCCTCTTGCAAGCTGCTTCCAGGAAGACCACACTTCTTAAAAGGAGGGTGGTAGAGTCCCAATTGACCACCTGTGCTTCTTGTCTCATTCTCTGAACCTGCACCATTGGCATGACAACAATGAAAGGGTGGCAAGGGAAATGCTGCCAACAGTGCACCATGACTACGGAACAGTAACTTTCGACAGCTGTCACGTGCTGCTCCAATGCTAGGTTGTCATGAAACTCGGTGAACACCTGAAAAAAACGGCAAAAAACTGCCGCACCGATTTTGAGACCAATCAGAGCTTGGTAGATGAGTCAGCAGCCGAAATGGTGAACTTGGGTGTTACAAAAATAGAGTAACACACACTTCCGGGATGCCATAAGTCTTGAAACTAAAAATGTTGCCATGCCTTGTAAACTGCTTCAAACATTCTGAAACTTTGAGGGTGTGAATAACAAATGTTGAAGCACCTCTCCACAAAGTTCCAGAAGCTGAGCAGGCTTGTGGGCTGAATGGGAGTGCGATGACCGTGCCACTATAGTGCTTTGGCACAACAAAACCTCCCTTAGTATTTATGGCATCTGGCCAAGAGAAGGACATGGCAAGGGAGGAAGGGCCCACTGCACCTAATAAGGTGGTGAACAATGCTGCTGAGATTGAACTCAATCAAGATGAGGCAATGGCTGATATTGAGCTGGATGACATTGAAAACTTGGACCTGGAGGATGAGGATAACTATGTTGAAGCTGTTAACCATGTTGAAGCTAATAACAATGGGGAGGAGGATGACACCGGTGAAAAGGGGAACACTGGTGATGAAAATGACTTCACTGAGGGTGAAGGCATGAGTTATCCTATCTCCGAGGAAATTTTCCATCTCCAGGCTAAAGTGTCAACTCAGAATATCACCATCCAGCAGCAGCAGAAGTCCATTGATGGACTCACAAAGCTGACTAACAAGCTTAAGGCTGAGTTGGGCATTGTCATGAAAGAGGTTTGCCAATTCCGTCGCAGCCTGGGCAGTAAAAATCACCAAATTGAGGAGCTTCAGGATAATTGCAACAATATGCAAGCATAATTCAACAAGCTCTATGAGCAGTTCAGGGAGCTTAGGAGGGAGGGCATTTACCAGCCTCCTCCTGGGCGTAGGCCCGCTCCTGCTGCTCAGCCAGCAATTGCTCCGCCCGCATCTACGCCTGTAGGCGCTGCAACGGCTATGCACCAGCCACCTCCAACCAAGGCCGCACCCTTTGGGTCTCTCTCGGCGCCCCTGCCTGAACTTATCCATGGCAAGACGAAGGTGGAGTCTTGGCTTGACGCGGTGGATACCACCATGACCCTTGCGAATGTGCGTCCCGAGGCTCGCGTCACCGCAGCTACTCGTGCATTGGACAAGGTGACCCGCAAGGCAGTGTATGGCGCTAAGAAGTAGGCGCAGGGACCGTTTGAATGGCCGGAATTCTGCACCGCGCTGAAAGAGGCATTCATGGTCAAGAAGTCCGACTTGGAGTTGTGCGGACGCCTTGAGAGTATCAAGTGTCGTGACCGTTCGGTGCAGCAATATGCGGTCGAGTTCGAAGCCGCAGCGCGCATGCTCCAGAAACCCTTGTCCGATGAGGAGATGATGCACACCTTCATGAAAGGCCATCCTGTCAAGCTGCAGCAAGCACACGTGACTGGTGGCATGACCAATTGGACGACTTACAAGGAGATGAAAAAGAAGGTGATCAAAACTAACCTGCTGGATACCACCATGACCCTTGTGAATGTGAGCCCCGAGGCTCGTGTCACCGCAGCTACTCGTGCATTCGACGAGGTGGCTTGCAGGACAGTGTATGGCGCTAAGAAGCAGGCACAAGGACCATTTGAATGGCCGGAATTCTGCACCGCGCTGAAAGAGGCATTCATGGTCAAGAAGTCCGACTTGGAGTTGCGCGGACGCCTTGAGAGCATCAAGTGTCGTGACCGTTCGGTGCAGCAATATGCGGTTGAGTTCGAAGCCGCATCGGGCATGCTCCAGAAACCTTTGTCCGATGAGGAGATGATGCACACCTTCATGAAAAGCCTTCTTGTCAAGCTGCAGCAGGCACACGTGACTGGTGGTATGACCAACTGGACTACTTACAAGGAGATGAAGGAGCAGGTGATCAAAACTGACAACATCATTCGCACGTACATGTTTGGTCCCGAAAAGCCGGGCCAGCGGCCCTGTGCTGAAGGCTCTGGTGGTCATGGGAACCGACCCCAGAATGCCAATCGTGGAGGCAGTTGGAACAAGAGGCCGTTCCAACAGCGTGATCACCAGCCTGGGCCTCAGGCCAAGAAGGCTAATGGAGGGGGGGCGGGGCGTGGTCCCAACAACATGGACTTCTCCAAGATGCAGTGTAACGGCTGTGGAAGGATTGGACACATCCAAAGGCACTGCCGTGACAAAAACTCCATCAAGTATTATGGGAAGCCTAAGCCAGGCGGCGCTGGACCTTCTAGAAAGAAGGATTTTCATAAGCCCAACTAGGGTGTGGGACCAGTTCACTCCTGGAGGTCAGCGGGTGACCCACTGTTCGTGTACTCGGACGGGCCGGCACCTGGCCACGTACACCCGTCAGCCTGGGTCGAGCCTGTACACCCTGACTACCGTGTCTCCTCCGGTTGCTGAGTCTGGTCAGGTAGCTGCGTCGGGTCAGGTGTTTGCTGCAGCGTCCCGGTCTGGTCCTGAGTCTGCCCCCTGCTCGTGTCGCCTCCTGTCTCACCAGACTCTCCTCTGGCACCACCGCCTTGGTCACCCCTCCCTGCCTCGTCTTCGGAGGCATGGCCTCCCGTGTCCTTGTCACTGGTCTTCCCCGGTCTCTCCCTCCCCTTCCCCCGGGGCCTGCCCCTACCTGCGTTCCTTGCGTCGAGGGGCGGCAGCGCGCCGCTCCTCACTCCTCCGAGTTCCCTCCGACGGAGGCTCCCCTGCAGACTCTTCACATGGACGTGTGGGGCCCAGCCCGCGTCCATGGACAGGGTCACGAGCGCTACTTTCTGCTGGTCGTTGACGACTACTCGCGTTACACCACAGTCTTCCCCTTGCGCAGCAAGGGTGAGGTCACTGAGGTGCTGATCGACTGGATCCGCGCTGCCCGTCGCCAGCTCAGCGAGAGTTTTGGCTCGGACCTTCCTGTTCTGCGTCTGCACTCCGACAGAGGTGGAGAGTTTTCCTCCGACCTTCTGCGAGCCTTCTGTCGTGCGGAGGGCATCCGCCAGACATTCACGCTTCCGGCCTCTCCGCAGCAAAATGGGATTGCCGAGCACCGCATTGGCATAGTCATGGACGTCGCTCGTACGTCCATGATCCATGCGGCTGCTCCCCATTTTCTGTGGCCGTTCGCGGTTCACTACGCGGCGCATCAGATCAACCTCCAGCCCCGGGTCTCCTTGCCAGAGACCACACCTACTCTGCGGTGGACAGGGAAGGTTGGCAATGTGTCTGCGTTCCGTGTCTGGGGATCTCGAGCTTTCGTTCGCGACTTGTCTGCGGACAAGCTGTCCTCCCGTGCTGTTCCCTGCGTCTTCCTTGGCTTCCCCCCTGACGCGCCTGGTTGGCAGTTTTACCACCCCACCTCGCGCCGTGTTCTGTCCTCTCAGGACGTCACGTTTGACGAGTTGGTTCCTTACTACCGTCTCTTCCCCTACCTCACTGCCCCCCTCCCCCCCCCGCCGCTCTTCCTCGCGCCAGGTCCCCCCCTGGTAGACCCCCTCCCCCCTTAGGGTCCTGCCCCCTCATGTGTGTCCCAGGTAGATGCAGTCGAGCCTGTCGAAGTAGCTGTTGACTCTGGTGCTGCTAGGGGTGTTGAGCCTGCGGATGCTGGGTCTGGGGGTGCTGAGCCTGAGCGTGCGGAGCCTGGGGGTGCCGAGTCTGGGGGTGCTGAGCCTGGGGTTGCTGAGTCAGGCGGTGAGGAGCCTGAGGGTGCTGAGCCTGCTCGTGTGGAGTCTGGAGGTGCTGCGCCTGGAGGTCCTTCGGCTTCGTCCCGGCGGGAGTCACTCTCTCCACAGCAGTTGCGCGAGTGGTTTGCTCGGTGCTGGAGCCGTGCTGCTGGAGCTGGTGGTGCTACGGGCGCTGGAGGTTTTACTGTTGCTGGAGCTGCTGTGGGTTTTGGAGTCACTGGTCCCGGAGGTGCTCGTACTGGAGGTACTGGAGCTGGTGGGCCTGGTGGTGCTACTGGAGCTGGAGCTGCTGGAGGTGCTGGAGCTGGCGGTACTGCTGGAGCGGGTGCTGCTAGAGGTACTGGAGCTAGCGCTACTGGAGCTGCTGAGGCTTCTGGTGGTTCTTCTGGAGCTGGAGGTGCTGCTGTAGCCGGTGCTCCTGGGGGTGCTGGGGTTGGCGCTACTGGAGCTGCTGGACGTGCTGCTGGAGCTGGTGGAGTTGGACCTGAGACTGCGGGTGCTGGTGCTGTCCCTGCTGGTTCAGGAGGCGCTGCGCGGCCGCGGCCGTACTTCGTTCCGCTCCTTGAGCAGGTTCTTGGTCTCCCGCCTTCTACTGGTCTTGCTCCTTCCTTAGAGTGTCCACCGCCTGTCCAGTCGCAGTCCCAGTTACAGCCCGCCTCCCCACTGCCTGCTCCTTCTCCTTACACTGGTCCGACAGGAGGTCTTACGGAGCGTCGTGAGCCTGAGTCTCGTCCTGCGTCGCCTGTTCGTGCTGCTCGCACTAGTCGTCGTGGTTCGCGTCAGCGTCCTCCTGTCCCTGGCACGCACCAGATGGCTCTGCGTCCTTCCACTACTCCGCAGCGTGTCCCTTTGCCGTCTCCTCCTGCGTACTCTCTTCCTGCCCTTGCTGACCCGCCGTCAGACCTTGCTCGTGCTGCCAGTCCTACTGTCACTCGTCTTCTCGCTACTATTGTCACTGACCCTTCGTTTGAGTCCACTGCTGCGTCTGCCTTGGTTGCTGAGCTTGTCGACATTGCTGCTCACTGTCATTTAGACTACGCCGCTAGTCTTGTTGCTGAGTCTGAGTCTGTCTGTCCTCCGTCCGTCGGGGGTGAGTGTGCTCTTAGCACGGACGTCCTTGAGGACAGGCAGGAGGAGTTCCAGTGTTTTGCTACTGCTACCCTCTTAGCATCTTGGCACGCTATGTTGCTCCTGGGAGACACCGACCAGAGCACATGGATGCATTTAAGAGGGTGTTGCGCTACTTGTGCAGTACGTCGGGCATGGGGCTTGTGCTTGGAGGACGGGCTCGAGTTGTCCTCACTGGTCATGCAGACGCTTCTTGGGTTAACGACTTGGCTACTCAGCGGTCGTCACAGAGTTACACCTTCAGCCTTGGTTCCGGCTCTGTTTCGTGGCGGTCTACCCGCTCGTCTTCTGTTCTCAGCTCCAGTTGTGAGGCTGAGATCTACGCTGGGGCCATGGCTGCACAGGAGTTACGCTGGCTCACCTACCTGCTGACCGACTTGGGAGAGGCACCTCGTTCTCCTCCAAATCTGTACGTCGACAACAAGGCCATGCTTGCCTTGTGTCAGGAGCACAGACTGGAGCACAGAACGAAGCACATTGCTCTGCGCTACTTCCTTGCTCGAGAGTTGCAGCAGCGTGGTCAGCTTCGTCTTGCTTACGTGGCCACTCGGGCCAACACTGCTGATATCTTTACCAAGGCACTTCAGCCTTGTGATCATCAGCGTTTTTGTACTATGCTAGGTCTTGTGCCTACTTGGCCTCACTTGCTCACTTCTTGACTTTGCTTGTACTGTGATCTATATATACCTGCACCTGCATGCTTACCCTTGCTAGGTTGAGGTCAGTGTCTTGCTTGTTCACCTTGATATATAACTCTCCATGTGAACTGGCCTTGTAGCCTTGTGCTTGTGCTCAGAATGTGTGGTGACGTCGTGATCCACCCTGAGCTTGCTTTGCTTTGCTTGACTGGTTTTGTGACCTCTTGTTCTTCCCCACTTTGCCTATGGTGGTGTGTCAAATATGTATGATATAGCCTGTGTAGGCTGTAGTGGGGTAGACATTATGGGGTACAGCTTTTCTAGGTTTTCATACTTTTACCCATCTCCTTTCTAGTCCACATCATTTTCCTCGTACTATTCTCACAATATGTCTTATAATCGGAACAGGGGTTTAGGGGTTTTCTTATAAACAGGGGGTGTCTTCTACACGATCATTAGTTACTTTAGGGGGGTACATGCATAGATTTATGAATCTCTACATCTACCTAGCCCCCCTCAGTTATGGCCTCCTCACCTGCACTAACATCAGGCTCCCTAACACCCAGATCTGGCACTCGCCAGGCATGCCTAGCCGTCTCCCTAGGCTCAATCACGCGGTCAGCCTCAGCCGCCGCTCTGCGGTAGTTGGGGGTCTCCTGGTACAGCACCACCATGCCGGTTGCCACGGCCACCTCCCTCACGCCCTTCGCCTGAATCTCCTTCTCTTCCTCCTCCTCCTCTGGAGCCTGCCCAAGAAGGCGCGTGTTGTCGCTCGTGGTTCTCCCGAGGCACATGTCCTAGGAGACATCGGTGGTGCTCCTGGAGCGCAGGTGAGACATCACCAGGTGGTTCTCCGTCCCGTCCATCTTGCTTGAAATCCCACAATGGCGGAACGCGTCAATGATGACCTTCTTGGGGACTTGATCTCACGCCTCCGCAATCCTCCCCAGGTTCCCTACGGGTGGGATAGAGGCAGGGGTAGCGAGCCGTTAGAGACATGGAAAGAAAAACGAACAACGAAGAATGAATGAACTATGAAAGAGTTGGGTACAAGTACTAACCCTAATTGGGTTGTACCCCTTATGGGCTACCCCACGATAGCCTACACAACTGTAAGCATTATAACATTCTGACACACCCCCATAGGCAAAGTGGGGGAGAACAAGTGGTCACAAGACCAGTCAAGAAAAGCAAAGCAAGCTCAGGGTGGATCACAAAGTCACCACACAGTCCGAGCACAAGCAAAGGGCCACAAGGCCAGTTCACATGCAGAGTTATATAAAAGAGAACAAACAATACAGTGATCATACCCTAGCAAGTGTAAGCAAGCAGGTACATATATAGATCACAGTACAAGCAAAGTCACGTAGTGAGCAAGTGAGGTAGAGTAGGTACAAGGCCTAACACAGTAGAGTAGCGCTGATGATCTCCAGGCGGAAGTGCCTTGGTGAATACGTCAGCAGTGTTGGCCCTAGTGGCCACGTACGCAAGACAAAGCTGGCCACGCTGCTGCAACTCTCGAGCAAGGAAGTATCGCAGAGCGATGTGCTTTGTTTTGTGCTCCAGTCTGTGCTCCTGACACAAGGCAATCATGGCCTTGTTGTCTACGTACAGAACTGGAGGCGAACGAGGCTGCTCTCCCAAGTCACTTAGCAGATAGGTGAGCCAACATAGGTCCTGTGCAGCCATGGCCCTTGCGTAGATTTCAGCCTCACAACTGGAGCTGAGAACCGAAGACGAGCGGGTAGATCGCCAGGAAACAGAGCCGGAACCGAGGCTGAAGGTGTAGCCCTGTAACGACCGCTGCGTAGCTGAGTCGTCAACC